TTCAACTCATCTCCGCTGGGGTCAGGAGGAAAGAATGCGCATGATGGATAGCGAGGCAGGGCGACTTGAATTATGAAAGAGCTGCCCCTCTCTGAGGAGAGACTTCAGATGTTAGGGGCAGGGAGCCAGACCAGCTGTGTGGAGCTGTACTCCAGCCAAGAGGCTGAATGTCTGCTCTCAGGGGGTTTGTGGAGCTGCTACAGTCTTCTGCGACTGCTGCCTGCGTCTTCCGGTCTCCACCAAAGGTCACAGAGAGAGAGATTCTTTAGTTCTGGCACTCCTCCCTCAATAGCAAACCTTTACACTCGAGGTTGCAACGTATGTGCAGGCATAGTCCATCAGTCCTGAGAATAGTGGGTCGCGGGCAGCGGGCCTTTCATGGGAACTTTTCAAATATAGACCTCTTCTTTGTCAACTGCATAGTAAATGACTTTATTATTCAACTCTCGTTTCCATTAACTAGCTCCTTGCCTACCCCAGTCCCCCTCATCATTTGCCCCTGTACTCTTGTGCACAACTCCCTGGAAACTGAGCATCCTGCCTGTTGCAGAGGCCCTTGGGATTCCCATCAGCTGTGAGCTCTGTGGGAACCAAACCCAGGAGGGAGGCCACCGCTGGCCAAGCAGGCCACTGCTCCAGCTTTGCCATGTGATTTCCACTGGGCCTGTGTGGAAGTGCTCCTAACTAGGTCAGCATTTTCAGGGCAGAATTTCAGATAATCCATAAAGCCTTTTATAAAAGGAAGTGGTCCAACTAGCTTTGTTGAGACTCAATCCATTTCTGGAGTCCTTATGGTGGAAGATTTGATTATTGCTGGAATGAAGAAATGGCCAGTCTCATTAAATTAGAATCAATATTTATTAATATAAATATATTGTGCTTGAAAAATCCAATACTGAGTAAATATACTGATTTTCCCTCAAGCTTCAATCAGTAAAACTTCATTCATGGCCGTGATGTCGTGACTTCAGTTACACAAAGTACTCTTGACAGATTCATTATTGTCTCACCATATTTGGGCCCGTAAAAGCAGCAAAACTGCTTCAGGACGTTCAGAAAGACATGGTTCCCTTCCATTTCCTGGCCAGCTCCAGCTACCATTGCATTTACTTTTAACAAATCCTTATATTCTGAAACTCCTCCGCGGTCATGCCCACGGTCTCTGGAGTCTGACTTTATTGACACACATTCTGTTCCTTCAGGGAAAGAGCTGGCAGCCCAGAAGTACTTTCACTGAAGTCTGTGAGAAGGGGGGAGACTGGAGGTGTCTGGCGCCTGCTGGGGTGGGGAGGGAGAACTGTACAAGGTGGCTCACGTCCTTGATGAGATTTCTCAGAGCAGAACATGACGTGCTTGCCATCCTCAGGATCCAATCCGCTTTAAAAGAGTGTTCTACTTTGCTTTGAGTGGCCAAATACCACAAGCACTACTTAAATTTAAAATTATGTAACCCTGGCATTCCAAAGTCAACGTGCATGGCAGCACAAGACAGACGTGGTCTGTTTGATGGTGAAGACCACGGACAGTGCTTAGGCTCAGAGGGGTGTCAACTCACTCTCAACTGGACAGCCTTGCTAGGCACACGATTTTTCTCCTCTGGGGGAGATGTTGCTTATAGGATTTAGCAGTTAAATGCACACACACACACACACACACACACACACACACACCCAATTAAGCATTGCTCAGTACTGGAACAGAGGTCAGCTCTAGGCACACAGTAGCACTGCAGTTCCTGATCCTTTTTGGTTCTCACAGTGCAGATACGCACCTTTATTTGAAGGCAGCAACATGTAAAGTAGGAGACAGTAGGTAGATAGCTCATAAAATAATGTGTTCAATTGTTGAGGGAAAGCCCCTTTGGTCTAATTCTAATGTCGTTTATGTAATTTTTAGTATTCATATTTGGTCAGGAACACTAAGTTTTTTAGGGGGGAGGGGCAGTTGATATAGGCCTCAAAATCTTCTTTGCACAGGGTGACAGGCTACCACTTGTTAAAATGTGTGTGGGGTTCTAGAACGAAAGTTACACTGAGGTAGGCACAGTGGTGCACACTAGGCCAGCACTCAGGAGGACTGAGGCAGGAGGATCAAGAGTTCAAGGTCAGCCTGAGGTACATAGTAAGACCGTCTCAAAAAAAAAAAAAGGTACACTGACTTGACGTGGCATTTATAAGATACAAGGGACCAAGTCAATGCCCTGTCTGAATGAGACGCAGGAACAGGACTTCAGTGTCGAGGATCAAGCTCTCCAACCCCGTTAACTCACAGTTAATTCAACTGAGACTCAGAAGTGACTTGTTCAAGTCTGTACAGGAAGTTAATAGCCAAGCAGGGTCTAGAACTTTCTTCAGACTAATTCTACCTAGAGTTTGTCAGTTCTCCCCACTACAAGATGAAAAAACTGGGATTTCTTTCCATAATTAGTAGTACTTTTGCCACAACAAACCTTAGAAAAAAAGAATGAGGCAAAAGGTAAGGACTTTATGATCCAACTCTAACCAGAAATTGCACTTTTCATCTAAGTTTTTTAAAAGCCATATATAATAGTGGTTGGAAAAAAATTTAAAAAGGATGTTTCATTTCTTAATAAGATGAAAAGCTATGTAAAAATGATGATTGAATATGAGTGGACATCTGACTCTTCTACAGATGCAATTCCAGAAAGAAGTTGTCCAACCAAGAGTGGCTGGCTTAGAATTTGTGGAATGTTTTATAATTACGATTGCTAGAAACAAATCAAAATTTAACAAATAGGCAACTATTTCTTGTTTCCTTGCCCCTGTATCTCTTTGCTGTATTCACTGAGGAATTTCATTTTGGCTGATCTGAAGGAGCCAGGTGCAGGGAGGGTGAAGCGTCCAGGGCTGGCCTTTCAGGAACTCTGAACACACTGCTCAGAAAAAACACTTCTAATGGCTTTCAAAGCCCTACAGTTTGTTTAGAGAAAATCTTGCTGGCATTGATTGATTTCTCCTCCTCTGGTGGTGCACAAGAGAGGGAGTAATGAAAGAATTAAATGATTCATTCTAAACATCTGATGGGGTCCCTTCAAGTCCTCCTCCTCTGATCCACTTCTAGTGGCTGTGCTCGAGTCGCCCCATCTGGGATGAGGTCATTTTGTTGGGGCACACAAAGGATTCCAGGGGAACACACATCATATACTGTGGCTATTCACAGCCTTCATTCCTCCTGCCTGCTCAGGGGTAACAATGAACCTTCTCAGTGTCACGTGTGCTCACGAGGGAGACAGGGGTTAGACGTCTTTCAGTGGACCCCTAGGAACACAAGGCAGTTATTATAATGTCCTGGTTCTCAGAAGGGCCTGGGAACAGCCTCTAATTAAGTAATTTAATAATAAATTCACACACTTCTTAGGTACTACAAGAAGTAAAACTAAACCTTCTCCCTCTCCCCCTCTTCTCTGTCATCATCCATCCCTTTTACAAGAAAGAAAAGCCAGGAGTGAGCACATATACACATTTCAAATAACAATTGCAAAGGATGTCTGGTTAGTCGGGAAGGGGAAATTAAATTACTTGAGAACATTCTTTCCATGTTCCAAAAAAATAAAAAGAAAAAAAGGCTTCAGCTTACTCAGGTGGATTTGCTAAAAGCCTGGTGCTTTAATAAGTTTTGGATTTGACCTCCAAAGGCTTTCAGTGGTAGCAATTCATTAGCAAAGGGACCCCTTGGGGTTAAGCTGCCACTCGGATGGGCATTTCTTCAGTTCACTGCTATGCCCAGGAAGGAAGGGGCTGTTAAAAGTGTCTCTCCAGTGTGTCCTGGTCCCCACACCTCTGAGGACCTGAATGTGTGCAGATACAGCTTCTGAGGACAAGGGAAAGAAAGAGGGCTCTATGATATCTGGACAGGTTACAGGAAGAGACAAGAATAAGGCAGGAGGGGTATGACATGTAGGTCTGTAGGCAGCAGCTCGAGGTGCCTGGCGAGAGGCTCCCATAGCCACCAGCCTGTCCCTGCTAGCCTGTGAGGAAGACTGATCTTCTAGAGCTTCTCTGAGGCTTTGTGTTTTTTTTTTTTTTTTTTTAGTAAAATGAAGATGTTAATAGTACAATGGTTAGTCAAAAGTCTAGGGTTGGAATCTTGAGAAAGTGACAAGTCTCTGAGCCTGACTTTCCTTATCGTGAAATGAGGGGACAATGCTCATCTTGCATACACTGTCATGAGGGCTAAATGTGACAATTATGGAATCATTTGGCCTATTCCTGGCACACAGTAAATAATCTGTAAATGCGAGCTGTTGTTATTATGAACAACGTAGGTACGTTTTAAAAAGGTACTTAATGGATTGTAATTGTTTGCATCATTGGATTATTAATACACAGAGCAAGCATGTAGTTAGAAAAATAAGACAAACCATGTAAACTATCGTCTGATTGCTTTATTTCCTTGACAATTGATGAGAGGGATACCAGGTGGAAGAACAAATGGGTTTTTTCTTTTGTCTTGTAATTAACCTGTACAATGTCAGTGTGTATGGGTGAATGAGTTCACATTATTTGCAAGACTAGTTTTTCCAATTTGTGTGCACATGCCACACACACACACACACACACACACACACACACACACACATGGTACAATGGTGCCCCAGCATTTTTGACTTCACTGTCAACAGTAAAGAGGAGGTTCTTATTATATGATTGGCAAGAGACTAACTTCTGCTGAAGTATTTGATGTTAAAAATGTGACACTGAGCTGATTGATAAAGATGAGCCCATGAGTAGGTGGGAATAAGGTACTCTACGAAAGAAAAAAGAATGACCTTAAAAAAAAATTTTTTTGTTTTTAACAGCTAGAGAAATCTCCAATCACCACTTAGTTAAAATACACTGTCTATCACTTTGTGTTAAGTAATTTTTATATGAATATTCTCAAGAACTAATTTCTGTCATAAACATTTGATATTTTGAGCACTGTATTTTGGACATTGAAGTGGAGTACCCTGAAATTTTGAGAAGTGCTAGGAGACAAGAACAGGAAACTTGAGGCAAGATATCTTCATCCTTCCACTTGAGCAGCAGGAAGAACAGGACATTTGCTCTTTATTATTTGACAAGCCTTTTAAAAGTCACATGGGAAAGCAACCACTCTAAGGATCTTTTGATTCCTTTCAGTTTTGGCCAAGAGAATGGAATTATTGAGAAAATCCAACTTTTTATAAAGTACTTCTATTGGAAGGACTTTTCAGTGGGTTAAATGCTATAAAATCATTGTTGGGAAATACAGAGAGGGGAGAACATAAAAATAATTATAGACAGGAGCATGTTGGGTGAGGTGTGCAGAGACTTGCTTCTCAGTGTCAGGATGTGACCTCAATGGCTTGTTCAGCTCACTGGGGTTGCTTTTCTTATCTTAGGTGACAGATGATGTACTAAGGCAAAAGCAAGGTTTTCTCCATCCCTCAGGTTTTGGAAATAGACCAAGTCCGGTAGTTCTTACACTACCTTCCTTTAACCCTGACCTTTTATAAAATGCAGGTCGACTTGCTTCCTCTGAGGACTTCTAGGTCACCAGTGGTTGTAGATTTCCACTGACAAGTCTCCACCTGGCTGCTTTTCTGAATTCTGATTGTTAAGACCAGGAAGGTGAGTGTTACCCGGCCACTGATAACACTTTTCTTCCAAATACTCTTTAATCCCATTTCAAATCCTTGTTTCAAATCCTGGGTGTATGAGGGTGGAGAAGGACACTTCTTAAACACTTGATAACATGGTGGAGGTGAAGATCTGTTGTAAAATCTGAGGGATGTCCTTGGTGTCCATGGCAATGAAAGACCGGCCAGCTGGTAAAGTTCTCTGAAGCCTGCCAAGAGAGAAAGGGACAAAAATTACCATTGCAAATCAAGGCGCCCCTCCACCTCCTGCCCTGACAACCACAGCATCCAAACGGGTTGTGAGGAAAGGAAGTTGTTACTTTCCAATACCGTGCCTGCTGCCTGCAATTGAATTGGCTGCCACTAAGCAATGAAAGGCCTGGAAGAGCAACTGGGAGAGACACAGTGAAAGCAGTGAACCAAAAGAAAGGTCTTTCATTGAAGAAAATCAGTGAATTTGAAAAGAAAAACATGTCTTCCTTTCATGACTGCTGTTTCCTGCTATTTTAGATTCCCTTGGTAGAACTGTGCCCTAGGGACCCATCTGACATTAGCTCACCTGGGTCTAGCAAAATGTGTTGGCTTCACACTGTACTCCTAAATGTTCTTCCTTCCATAGAAAACAGGCTTCGAAAACTGTTGCCCAGCCAAATTCGGAGGGATGTCCTCTCTCTACTTTTCTCTGTCTTTCTGACTCCTGTCTCTGTCCCTGCCCCACTCCATATCATATAACATGAAAAGCAATCTGGATTATCCAACTGTTGCTTTGATGATATTGAGATTATATAGGCTTGTGGTAATTTTTTAAAAATCTATTTACCATTTGGAACAAAAGGCCATTTTTGAATACAACTGCAAAACAGTTGTATTCAAAGGAATGCTTTCTTTCATTGTGTCAACAAAGTCTGGTTTTGGAATGACATTTAATAAAAGTAAACCATCCTGTGTAGTATCATACATTTGGCATGACTGGTAGACCAGCTAATTCTGCAACATATCTTTTGCCAGTGGATGTTGGACCATTTCCCTAGGAAACCACAAGGGTATTATTGTGCTTTCTTAATTATTTCAACAGGACCTGTTCACTAAAAAGACAAAATAGCCATTTTAGCTCAATCAGTATTTGTTGAGCTTGCTGTCTGCCTAATACTGGGCTGGGGATGAGGAAACCATGGGCAGAAAAGGCATGGCTTGCATTTAAGGACAAGGAGGTTCTAGCCATGGAATGTGTTAACACATAAAAGGGAGAAAAATGCAAAGTCAGTGAATGCATTACGTGAAACTACATTTGTTCTCAACCTTACTCTATAAGCTTGCACCAAAGTAAAAGAACAGAAAAAAAGACACCAGCATTTGAGATGCTAAAACCTTTCCTGCTTTATACAAGGCTCTGTACCACAGAGTATGGCAGGTAAAAGATGTGGAATAGCAAAGACAGGTTCTTGGGGTGTTAGGGATTTTTTTTTTTTTTTTGAGGAGATATGCTTTTAGGTTTTTTTCTGCTTTTCACAAGTATTTTAAGCAGAGAAAAACCATGAGCCCTTTCTGTTTATAATTCAAAAAGATAAATGTTAGGGTGTTTAAGTTCTGAAAGCATTTCCAGACCTCCCCTTTCAGATTATTCCCAAGGGTATTTACTTTCTGACCATAAATTTCACTAGTGAACATTCAGCATATTTACTGTAGTGTTTATATATAGATATATAGTCTTACCTTGTCTCCAAGTGTTTCACCTATCTGTCTCCCTGGTAAGAAGGGATATATATACATATATGTACATCTCACATGCATATATGTGAGTCTATATACAGGCATATATATGCATACTTATATGTGTTTTTAATATAAATTATTGAAGAGGTAAGCCAATGGGTATATACACACATATGTATATGTATGATTATATATGCATATATATCTACATATAATATAGATAGACATATATATATAAATTCATACAACTTTCTCTTATGCTAGGAAAATAGTAGATGTTCACTATCTTAAATACGGTTTTAACTCAAACTGATTAGGCTGAGCTTGGGGCCTTGATGTAATTTTAGTGGCAAATATAGACAATATTGTCTAACTTATTAGTGGACAAATCTATGTGCCAAGTGGTTATTTTATTATTGTTTTAAATATAAGCTGAAAAGCAATTACTTTCAAATTATGATTGTTCATCCAAACATAAGCTAGAGAAGCATATTCCCTTAACTAGAGTGTAAGCTCTTTGAGGGTAGTTAGTACCTCTAGATTCTGCTCCGCTGCTCACCCTTCATGATGCAAGCCCATGAAATAGCATGTATCAGTATTCATTATCTCTCCATCTGCCTTTTGCTATATCTGCGACTACACTTACCTATTTGCTTGATCGCCTAAAGATCCAATAAAAATAGCAAAAGCATTTACTTGAGGATCACTTGTTAGGATTTGGGCAAACTTAGAAGGATGTATTCCATATCGTGACAGATTTGCATCACTCAAGACTATGACAAAGTACTCATCAGCTTCTTCTTTGACAATTTCCTTAATGGCGTGTTCCGTCCCCTCTAGTGTATGGTCTCCGCTCATGCAGAACTGAGCATGGGCATGTATTGTCTGGAGGTAAAAGACAGTGCACAAAAGCCATGGATGAGAAACTTCTTTTTAAGAAACATGATTTTTCTATTGACAGTGAGAATGCATAAGTACCAGCTATTACAAATGAATAATAAGTCTGTGAGTGAGTTCTCTCTGATTTGCACATTAAAGTGGCAACTGTATATAGCGATATTTATACTTAGTAGACTTTTGTTAGAAACAGAAAATGTTCTAAAACTATAACAACTGACAGTTAAAATTCAATATTTCATTTAAAGTGAGAAAATGTAAGAAAATAGAAAACTTGATACCACCTTGAGGATGGATGTGATACAGAAGAGAACAAAAAATGGGTTGAATGTTCAATAAAATTATTCTGAAATGCTAAACACTGTACTTAGTAACAATAGAGGAAATTTACTTTGAAATAATGATGCATGTGTTTCTACTACAGATTTAAGTACGTCAAATTGAATTTATCATCAGAAAACACTAAAACACACATAAAATTGAAATTCAAGCATATTTAAAAGGGATCATTCTTTTCTTTCCATTGAATATGTCAACTCTATGAAGAGATCCAGGTTATAGAATCCCAGTGCAATATCAAGTGCTGCAAAAACCTGTGGGAAAAATGTTTAAACTTGGAGGGTGGGAAAATGAGTTTAGGCACATTTTCTCTGTTTAGTGGTTGAATATTTGTGAAATAGAAAGTCTTTTTCTTTCTTATATCATTGTTTCTTCAATGACTCTTTTTCATTTTTAATAGTAGTTTTCACAATGTAGAGGTAACTGAATGTATTTACCTTCAGAATTTCAAGTCTTTGCTTATTGTTCTTGGGAACGTTGTTAATTGGAACTATGCTGATGTTGTAGCCATCTCCAGAGTGTCCGGTGATGTCATACTATGTGCAAGAAAGTCAGAAAGTTAGAGACCTCTGTCCACTATAGAACCATAACTGGGCCTATATATCTCCAACTATTTCAACTGTTACTGCCTATATTTGCTCAACATTTGGGCATAGGAAATACAGAGGAAGAGACAGATTGTTTATCAACAAAGGCAAACAAATTCTAGATTCATTCATTTCTGATCCATCTTCTGTAATCTCTGCTCTCTAGCAGGAGGTAGAAAATATGATGAGGGCTTGAGGGGTTCCTCCAAATTTTGTTCATAACCTTCAGGGGAGACTTTCTGAAACACACACACACACAGACACACACACACACAGATAGACAGACTCATGCTCATACATGGTGATGGGCAGAATTCTAAGATGGCCTTAAGATCCTAACCCCCAGTGCACATGTCTTTTTGTGTTCTTCTCCCCTTAAGTGTAGGCAGGACCTGCAAATGCAATGGGACATCATTTGTTATGTTAAGTTGTATGGCAAAAGGGATTTTGCAGTTGTAATTAAGTTTACTTGACTTTGTGTTAACTGAAAGGGAGATTATCTGGGTGACCTAACCTAACACATGAGACCTTTAAAAGCAAATTTTTCTGGCTGGTGGTAAAAGGGAAAGACAAATTTGAAGCATGAAGGAATCGGACATGAAGGAGTTATCTACGGCTGAGATGGAGGGGACTGTGGACAAGACACTGAGAGTAACTCTGGCTGAGACCAGCGTGGAAACAGGGACCTCTGTCTACAACCACAAGTAACTCAATTCTGCCAAGCTGAGCTTTCAAGCAGATCCTTCCTCAGAGCCTTCAGGTAAGAATCCAGTGCCGCTGATACCCTGATTTCAGCCTTTAATGACCCTCAACAGAGAGCCCAGCTGAGCTTGCATGGACTTCTGAACTAGAAGCTATAAATTAATGAATGGGTATTGTTGCAAGCTGTTGTGTTTGTAGTAATTTGTTATGTAACAACAGAAAACTAATAGTTTCCTTCTTGTCACAAAAGTGGAATATACTCATTGTAGAAACTGCAGAAAAATAGAAAAAAGAAAGTAAAAATTACCCATGATCCTATTAACCATAACCTCTGATGATGTGCTGTTATAGAAGCTCCTAGGCTTTTACTTCCTTAGAAATACATAAGAGGTGTATATTCATACACAAACATAAGTGCATCAGTATAACTCTGCTAAAATGGATAATATTGACTGTATAAATGTATAATCTGCTTTTCCACTTAATAGTGTGTGACATTTTTCAATTTGAGAAATACTTTTTAATTCCCTATCTTGCTGTGTACATGAGAAAGTCCTGAGCTAGGAGTCAGGTGCAGCTCTTTTATAGAATCTGAAAAGAAGTTTGGGGTAAACTGTATTTGGGGCAAGGTGGTTCCTTCCTACTGTGGAGTTTGTCCCCCAAATTCCCTCTGCTCTCCTTACTCTTTCAAAGAATTTTCATGATGCTGAAACAAAGGTTAGACTAGACCTTGGGCACAACAGGGATATCTGTAAAGGAAATCATGAGTGTGGGTCTGGAGCAAAAGATGTTTGAGAGGATTTGGGTCTTTAGGGAAAAGATATGTAAGAATCACTGATATCCACAAACCCACCAATAATTAATAGCTGTCCTGCTCTACAAAACACTGAAGAGCTACTGTACAAAACACTACTCTAGGTTTTATGGGGGGACACAGTCATTTCTTTGCATGTCTGCTCCTTGGAAAATGGTGAGTTCTTTCAAGGCAAGGCCAGATATGATTCGTCTTTGCATTTTTAGTATCTATGACAGTACCTAGCATGTTTATTGCACAAATGCTTCAAGAGAGTTTGCAATCAAGTTGGAGCAATAAGCAGCTTTCCTTCTGCATGTGGGCCATTCTTTCACAAATAACAGAAGCTGGAATGCATTTCCTCCTTTACCCATCACGTGGCAAGTGGTGGTTAGCCTAAGCTAGCTGAATAAAAGCAATCCATAGCTTAACTGAAACCCGTACATTTAAAATAAAGAGAAGCAGAAAAACTTCCTGTTGAAATAATTATTACATAAAAGTGGGAAGTCAGAAGGGGGGGTTATCTAGGGAAGATAAGCTCCAGTTTAGATGCACTGAAATTGTGCACCAGAGGAGAAATGTGGCTGCAAGTGAGCACCTAGCAGTCACCCCAAGAAGTGGGACATAACTGGAGGATATAGAAGTCATAAATCTTTAGAAGCTATAAAACTGGTTGTAAATTGTTAAATAAAGCATTTTCTCAACTCAGGCTTTGATAAATATACACTGTAATGACCTGGAAAGTAGGAGTCAAATTACAAATATTTGGATTTTCTGAAGCTTGATGCTGGAACATGGTAGTATGTGCAGTTCTTGCCTCTGGCCAACCCTCAGATCTTGGGGTGCTTATACCACCGGTGTCTTCTCTAGAAGACAGACCTAGGAAAGCAGCCCAGGAAGGACCTGGAAGTAGGCATGGGGTCATTTGATCGGGACAGTTGGAGGTCCTGGTACCAAGAGCATGGTCTGGAAACAGACCGTAAATGAGCTTGTTCCCTTGACCAGAAGGGCACATCACCTGAGAGAGGCATGGTCAGAAGATGGCCAGAATGGGCAGAAAGCTTGGGGCTTATCCTATGCCTGGTTTTAAGTTTTGTTTTTGTTGTTCAGTATAAAGGGTGATACATAAAAAAATGTAACATTCTATGCATGAAAAAATACTTCTTTAGTTTGCTATCACTATAGTGAAAAGGTAACAAATGAAAGTTGAAAGCTAAAAGCTGTTCACTCTTGAAAATTGTTCAGTGTAGGAAATGTCTGGCTTCACCTTCTACCTGGTGAGGTTCATCCACATGTCTAGTGCTAGGCATGGTATAGAAAAAGCCTATGGGAGTCTTCCATAGCAAAAGGCTTTAGCCTGACAAATCGGATTTCACGATGTCCATATAAGAACAGTTAATAGCCAAGAAGAGTTCTCCTGAGAAGGTGCCAGGCAGGTTGCTTTCATAATGGGACTGGTTAAATAGGGTCTTACACATAAGGGACAAGATTTGTTCTCTAGCCAGATGTAGTGGTGTATATCTGTAATCACAATACTTGGGAGGCAGGGGCAGGAGGATTCAGAACTTGAGACCAGCCTGGGCTACATAATGAGTCCCTGTCTCAAAAACCAAGGGCTAGGGATGTAGCTCAGTGATACAGTGCTCATGCCCAGGGTCCTGGGTTTGATCCCCAACACTGCAAAAACAAACAAGGCCAGTTCCCTGAAACAGAAGTAGGACTATGAATGGATTTGGCTTTTTCCTCCCTTTTAACTCAGGGCTAGAGTGTCTTCTGATCAGATGACAATGGATGACCACAAATCTGCGATCTGCTCACAGGGTCAACATAACTAGTCCTTGCAAGGAAAAAAGTTGCTAGTTAATTATTAAATAGCAATCCAATAAGCTGTCGGATATTCTTAATCAAAACAAGATACTGGCTGATTAAAATCTGATAGCAACTATGTCTATCATTTGATTGGATTGTCTGATACATCTATTTACCATTTAATTATTTGCTCAGGGGGGAAACAAATACTTTTCTGGTGATGAGATAAAGTGAGTGATAGATTTCCTTTTCTTTCTTTCCTGCATTCTTCCCCTTTTCCCTGTTTCCTGTTCTTATTTGTGGTAAGGAAAATGCTGTTTGTAGAAAATCAGGCTTTGTGAGTGCCTCATTAGTATTGCAAAGGCTTGAAAAGACACCTGAGGAACAAGTTGAGACTTAAACACATGGGTTGCAGACTGTGGTTACCCATCTTCCATATGGGCTTGGGGATTAGTCTGTGCCCAAGTAAATAAAATGCTTGAAAGGAATCCAAAGTACATCCAAGTGGGAAGCCTTCTCTGGTGTTCCTGTAGATCATGTAAAGCTTCCATTAAAAATACTACTTCTCCATTGTAATCACCTAGAGTTTGCTATCCAAGGACCCCAACATGTTTACAAATAGTAACTTGCTCAAAACTGCCTAGGCTCACAGAAACTGCCCACTAATTTATTCAATTCCATTCTGTAACTCCTGACTGCCATTCACCCAGTCTGTGTCCTGCCACAACCATCATAAAATCAGACAGGGCCTCATGCATGTTTCCATGGAGGATCTTTAGGAGCCAATAAATGAGAACCTTGCTGTCATTATTAACTACCCAACATTTAGATCATAACAATTTGGGGAGGGGTGGTAATGGGGTTTGAACTCAGGGTTTTCCTCTTGCTAGGCAGGCACTCTACCACTTAAGCCACGCCTCCAGCCCTTTGACTCCAGTTATTTTGGAGATAGGGTCTCACTTTTTGCCAGGCCAACTTGGACCATGATCCTCCTATTTTATACTTCCTACCATTGCCGGGATGACAGATGCATGCCACTGCACTCAGTTATTGGTTGAGATGGGGTCTTGATAAACTTTTTTGCCTAGGCTGGCTTCAAACTGAGAGCCTCCCCATCTCAGCCTCCCAAGTAGCTAGGATTACAAACATAAGCCACTGGTGCCTGTCTAGATCATAACAATTTTTATTATCATGATTCCCCCACTTTTCAGAGTATCCCTGATATCTTTGTGGAGTCTTGTGTTTATCACTCAAAGTAAATATTAAACCATAGCATAGCAGCCTCAACTAGAAAGAACCCCTTCTAATACTTGTTTTAGAAACTTGTTTTAATATCCTTTTGCTAGACTCGCTTTTGAAAATCTCATTCCTCTAGAGAAAGATACAATAAATGAAAACAAATACAGAGCTTCAGTAAAGACACAAAGATTTATCATCTAATAAGAAGGCTGATTTATAATAGATAGAATGTAAAGGAAGCTCTGCTTTGAACAAAGAGCTAGTAGCATTTTATGAGTATGGTTTTTATTTAAATTTCTATTAGGAAGAATAATATTTGATGGTTTTAGGAGAGGCTATGCTTTATTATACATCCACATTGTAAGTAGGTATGAGATAATCATTCTGAAGACTGATCACATGTGAA